GGGAGTGGCATTAATTGCCAGGGTGAGCAGGTGACGAATGGTGGAGCTGGCCCTCAAATCCAGGAAGACAGGTAGCACACTGGCTGAGAACAGCCCTGCCCACAGCTGGTAGGGATGCGTCAGGCAAAACAAAACATAGCTGTTGAGACTGTTGAGACCACAGCGTCAGCTGGAATCAGCAGAGGAACCCATGGAACCCCAAAGGGCAACCTCACAGGGGTAAGAGAGGGCTCCCTTATAGATGGGCAGGCCAGGGAAGGGTTTGTGAACTCTGGCTGGCGACCTGGGAGGTCAGCCTGCTGGGCTCTGTGATTGCAGAGCCCAAAGCAAGAACTTCTTAGTCTTATCTTTCAAAGTCAGGTTTGGTTTGTAGGAAACTTTGCCTAAAATCAATACTTATTAGTTATACAGATTAACGGATCTTGCTCTGGCAGATGTGTATGTGCACGTAACGTACTTTGGTGAGTTCCGCTCTCTCGTCCCCTCCCTTGCCTAACCCTGCCTGCCCAAACTTCGTGAAGCCAGTGTTCGGCAAGGGAGATGGGGCTGCTCTGACCCACAACAGTCAGATTCAGGATCCCCTGGGTTCCTGGAGAAGACCCAGGCCTGGGGGACCACAGGGCTGGTCTAGGGACAAGTCATTATTCTTTTTTTTCTCCCCTACATTACTGGGAGTTGAACCCAGAGACTTTGCACTCAGATATATCCTCAGCCCTTTTTTAATTTTTAAAGACAGGGTCTCACTAAGTCTCTAAGTTGCCCAGGCTGGTCTTGAACTTGTGATATACTGCTACCTCAGCTTCCCCAGTAGCTGGGATTATAGGTGTGCACCACCAGGCCAGCACAAGAAGCCATTATTCATGTCCCATCCGTGCATGTATGGCATTCCCTGCCAGGCACCAGGTGAGAGGATAAAGTGAGGGCTGCAAAGGGAAGCCCTTGGAGAGCTGCAGACCTCAGATAAGTACCACAAGGGTAACTCTGGTTACGTATGAGCCCCACATTCTGGAGGACCTTATATAATATGCAGAAACAACTGAGGAGACCTGACAGGCCAGGCCAGCCTGAAGATTTCCTGCTCAGGAGGTACCAACAAATGGGAGATAGGGCAAAGGGCACATTCCTGCTGGGTCATCTAATTGTCTATTTTTTAAAAAAGTGTTCTTTTTTTTTTCCTCTCTTTTCTTCATATGTTTCTTACTATTTTTTGGTACCAAGAATCAAACTCAGCACCTTGTGCTTGCCAGGCAGTTGCTTGTACTACTCAGCTGTATCCCCAGCCCCTCATAGTCTATTTTCCCCATATGCAGAGTTTTTAAAACAGGTATTCCTGAACAAGACAGTACAACCTCACTTTACAAGTTAAAGGACTGGGTTTTTGATGCTGCACAAGCCCAAAGGGCAGCTTGGTTTTCTCCTGATTTGAGAGATCCCTTGGCCTGGGAAGGCTGGGAAGCCTCCTGCTTGCCCACTTGCTTGGGAGGGGAGAAACCTAACGGGGACAACTGGGATCCTGCTTCCCTTATCACCCTCTTCTTCTGCCTGCAGGGAAGCCTGCTCTAAGGTTCTGCAGGGGTTGTTTTCCAGGGACAAGGCCATGACAGCTCTGTCCCTTACCCAAGTCTCAACCTCCTTATGTCCCTATGTCTACTCCACCCCAGAGGCTCTGCCTGGGTCAAACTCTGTATCCTACCACATGGAGTCCAAACTCCTAGGCTGCTGCTTCTGTTACTCCACATCAGAGGACCTGTGGCTTCCTTGGCTAGACACACTGAGCTCCCCCAGATACATGGCTCCCAGCTTTGCAGTGGCCCTAGCAGGCAGCTCCTTGGGGTCTTGGCTCTGACATTAGCTGGTTCAGTCCGGGACTTCCCAAGGGTGGGAACAGATCTCAGGGAAGATGTTGCTACCTTTGCTCTGAGGGTCATGGAACGGCTCTCCCAGGTCTAGGATCATGAGGCAGTGGGGAGGTCAGGAGGTGCTTCTGGTCCTGTAACAAAGATGCTCAACCCTTGTTGAGCCCTAGTAGCAACAAGGGCAATTGCAGGAGCAGCATTTGTCATGTCAGCAGCAGCCAACATCCAGCCACATTAAGCAGAAGGCAGGCGGTGCCCTACTCTGCTCACCTAGGGGCTAGAAGTTCTATAACTCAGTAAACACCCGTGGCCACCAACGGCTGCAGTCCCAGTGGCTCTCTCCTGGAAAGCTGTTCTGTAGAACGGAGACGCAAGAGACTTGGAAGGCATCATTTCCCTCTAGGAGGCCACTTGGAAGTAGACCTCTTCATAGGGAAGGGGATTATGAGGGAGGGGAGGACAGGGCAGAGTTGCATGATTCATACAGATGTCTGTGAAGCAGGAGTCAGTGCTAGGGTGGCCAAGACTCCTGAATCTCCAGAGCTCAGAGCCGGAAAGTACAGCCCTAAGGCCGGTATCCACAGACCCATGGTGGGAGAACGAGCAACCCAGGAAGCACGGTGATGGCTGCCTGGCTCTAGGCTTCAGGAGGGGGATGCTCGGTCTGTGGGCTTGCTGAGCCAACCCCAAGAGGAGGGGTGGCAAAGGGATCCACAATGCCCTGGTGGTGAGAGCTCTGGCTGTGGCTAGGATAGCAGAGCTAAGAGCCCCAAGGCCAGGAGGGGAAGGTCAGCTGGCAACACAACAGGCAGGTGCGCTCTAAGAGAACATAGCTAGATTATCCTAAATGTACCTTGTACAAAAGCAAGCTGGACCTTAAGGCCTCATCTATGAAATCCAAGTTCCCTCAGGACATGTAGAATCCATTAGGAACCTTTCTTGCTCTGTGGCGTCCAGGAACACACAGGCATATCCAGTGTGACTGGTCTGGCATCTGGTAGAGGGGTAGGCAGGCAACCATATGGATGTTCAAAGGGACTGAGTGTGTGAGGTAGGATAAGAGTGCCACACGGAAGGGCCAGTGAGATAGCTCAGCAAACTAAGCACCTGCTTTGGCAAGTGCAGGGACCAGGGTTTGATCCCTAGTCCTGCATGCCACACCGGCCCACCCCTGGGGCATGCTGAACCAGCAACAGAGTCTGGCCATGGTGATGCACGCCTATAATTCCAGCGCTGGGGAGGCTGAAAACAGGAGGATCACTATGAGTCCGAGCTGCATAGTGACACCCTGTACTAACTACATAAACAAAAATAAAGAATGCCTCAGGGACATCTAGACACGTGGACATAGGACTAGTAAAGTCTGTCCTTATGCTCTGGGATACAAACTCCTTGCAAAGTTCTGATCATACTCCTAACTACTAACATACAACAAAGCCTCCCATGTGCATCCCCAAAACAGTGACAGGAAATGTTTTTAGTGCTACACTCTTCTGGATCCAATGAAGCTATTTTTAACTATCTTCTCAGACTTAATTTCCAATTTTATCCTATAAAGTTCTAATTGATTCCACTTTCCTTCACTTGACAAGGCTGTGAAGAATATCAGACAGCTTCTGGTAGATATGAAGTGGGTTTTTTTTTTTAATTTTTTTTTATTTATATTTATTTATTGTGTGTGTGTATGTGTGTGTGTGTGGCCAGCTCAGCCCACCAGGGGGCGGGGCTGGCTGGCATGTGGTGCTGGGGATCAAACCGCGGTCCCTGTGCTTTGCCAAGCTTGTTCCAAGTAGGTGCTTTAGACCACTGAGCCATCTCTCCAGCCCCTGAAGTGGGTTTTTAAGTCTGCGCATGGCTCACATTTCTCTCGGCACAGGCCTTCTTCTCAGGGCTTGAGAGACTCCAAGCCATCTGTGTGCTCTGCCTGGGCATCCTGCACCCTCCAGACACTGACACTGGCCTCTCCTTTGTGTGCTTCCATTGGTGGGCCCAAGATGTGCCGGCCTAGCTGGGATATGGGACAAGCCACATGAGATGTGATACAATGTGGTGCTTCTGTCACTTAGCAGAGATACTGAGGCCGGGAGAGGATGCTATACCTTGTCAGCTTCATTCTGTTTAGAGACATGAAAGATTCTCTGCATCCCCGCTGTGGGCCAGAGAATGGATTTCTCAAATTCCCCAGCTTTTACACTTTTCACTTTTTCTAGTGTACCACAGCCTCACTCACCATGATTGGCGTGGAAGGCAGGGAGCTGTAGAGTCCCTGCCTGGTACCAGGAGCCAAGGAACCAAGGTGTTGCCAACCTTTAGGCCCTGCCCTGCTGTCCCACAGAATGCTACATGCCAGCCACACTGGGCTTTCCTCAGCCCTGAGATCTGCAGGCAGCTGCTTCCTCTGCCAGTGCCACTCTCCCTGTCCCACATGAGATGCCACACTGGCCATTCCCCCAGCATTGGCTGCCACCTCTCGTGCAGGCATTTTGCTCCTCTTGAGACCACTACCCTGCAAGTCTGTTAAAGCTGCCAATGTAAGTTCTAGAGTGGAGCTCGTGCCTGCCTTGCTGCTAAGGGCCACCGTGAACATTCACTGACCAGCTTCTCAGGAGCTTGGCTTGGTCCAAACACTTCCCAGAAATTAATCTCCCTTAACCTTCACCACAAACATGAAAGGCTGAGCCACAATCACTTGCACATTACGAATACACCATGCACCAAGGTTTACAAAACTGAAGGGATTTTCCCAAGGATGCTTGACAGCTAGGGAATAGTGCCAGGCTCAAAGCCAGGCTCTTGGAAGCCTCAACTCACTGCTTACAGTTCCCGGGCATATCCCTGGAGTGCCTACCCAGTGAGCAGTGGGATAAAGTTTCTTTCAGAGCTCTGTGTTGGCCCAGGTATTATCTGGGAGGGCACACTCTGCAAGGATCTTGTACTTATGATCTTGGAGTCTAGGGGCCTAGCCAGGGCTTAGATGACTCCAAGAGGCAGAATCCGAGGGTACGCACTGCTATTTCATTAATTTGCACTAGAAAATTGATCCATTCTATTTTTTAAAAGCCCAGCACCTACTGGCCAATTCCAGATGACCTGAATGCAAGACCAGGCCAAGTGCAGACTGGGTGAACTCACATCATGGCCTACCTGAGTGAGGACGTCCAGCTGGCCCACAATGTGCTCCAGCGTGCTGGTCAGCGTCTGGGGCATGCTGATGGGCTCCTGAGGCTGGTTCGGTACCGACTCCAGACTCCTGCCTCTGCTTGAGGGGATGGGGAGGTCCACTTCTGGCTAGAGGCAGAAAGAAGACGTTACTCAGCATATTCAGCACTTGAAGAAACACGGAAGGAGGAATAGCTCTTCTAATGGATTACATGCCAAACCACAGGGAAAGAAAAAATAACATCTCACTGTTGTTAAAAACTAGTAGTGGGCTTTCCACATCCAGGTCCACACAACTACCTTTTCCAGCAGGAGCCACAAGGAAAGGGATTAGGAGTACCCAGCAGTCCTTTGAGCACCTAGCCTGCTTCAAAGGGGCTGGGCAAAAGAGCAGTGGGCCAAGGCCAGACTGGCCTTCTCCTGAAGGTATGCAAGGAAGCTGGCTCTGCTCCCAGGGTACCACTCAAGAGTGCATCCTCCAGCAGGCAGGCTGGTGAGGCACTGAATATGCCAGGCCCTGAAGTCACCCTTTCGCCCAGCCAGCCAACTCCAATTCCCCAACACAGGATGGCCCCAGTGTTACCACAGGAATCCCATGGGCCCCAGAACTGTGCCCCAGAATCAGGGGTTAGGGACTGTTCAAACTCTATTCTAACCTAGATCCCATGAAAACAAAGGTTTCTGTGTGAATCTCCTGGCCAGGTAGATGTCAAATATTAGGAGAGAGAATCCGTACAGACACTACTGAGCCGTTTTCAACAAGACTCAAGAACGTGAGGTACTTAATGTGTTTCTGCTTAAGGCCCTTCACCCTCCCCCCCCCCCAATCTAGAAAAGTTGGACCCTGCTCCGTACACAGAGGCGTCTCCTGACCCAGGAAGCACTGTGCACATGTTCAGCTGGCAGTATCCCGGAGCCACGGATGCCTGAGGGCAGGCCGGCGGATGCCGCAGTCTGGTTTTAAAGCCTGAAATTCCTCTGTGGAATTGTTCCCTATGGAATTGCCCCGGCTCAGGGTGATGGCTCACTTTTGGCCAGCTGCAAAGCCTTAGTGACCCATAAATACAGCCACATTTGGGGTTGGACTTTAAACCACTACTTCACTAATGGGCATTCCAAATGTCAGCACGTCACTCAGCAGCTCTGCCAGTCCTCCAGGGCTCTGCCTCCTTTGGGAGAAACTCCAAGCCCTTCAGCAAGGCACTCCAATCCATCGCGCCTCCTTTCGCAGCTCCTCCCCTGCCTCTGCACCTCCATCTGTGATCTCTCTCTGCTCCCAGCATCCCATTCTCCCTGTCCCTCTCCACTGCCCACTCCTACTAAGAAGCCCCTCTGTGCTCCTATACTCCTGGGACTGCTCCATCCCTACCCTGTCCATCCAGCCACTACATCCCCTGCACCAGAGGCAGGACACATGATGGACGGAACAGCGCTGGCCTACCTGCAGGGGCCACCGCCTGCCCTTGCATCTGCCTCTCTGACCTACTGCTTGTACTCAGCACTCCTCTCACCACTGGGCTCAAAGCCAGGCAACTCTCATACCACAGAGCCAAGGCTATTCCCCCCAGGAGCCCAGCTCACCCCAGTCCCCAGTGCCACTGCCATTTAAGGTTACACACTCTGACCAGGGCTTACCTGTGATGCCTGCAAGCCCACCCACCACCCAGCCCCAGCAACAGGCTGCTTACAGACCTACCACCAGCAGCTAGCTTGCTTCTTCTCCGAGTCTCCCATCTCTTGGAGAAGCTATTGGACTGCTAACCTACAGCAGTCTAGCCCTGACAAGAGCCTCTCTGTTGGACACACTCACCTGGGCAGACACAGAGTGCCTGAAAGGAACTGGCTCAGGAAAATGATCAGCTGAACTGACAGAGGAGGACAAAGGGCAGTTCAGCATGTGGACCCATTGGCCTAGGTGACGCGAATGCAAAAGGTGATACATTTTTTTTTAATTTGTAATAGTAAAAGACACATTGCTATTAATTCCCTTTAAGACATTCCTCCTTGCCTCACACACACTTATCCCACTGTTCTTGTCACTTTTGGAAGCACTTCTACTTGTGCTGCAGGGGCTGCCTCAATGTCCTGAAGCGATTCCAAATGCTTACCTTTTGTAGTCATTTTGACTGGGAACAAAGTCTATATGGTACCATCTCTGGTGAATGAGGTAGTTGAGGACACCATGTTTAAATGAGCCTGCCTTCCAGTAGGGTGGCATTTGACAGCAACATTTACCAATATCACACCTTGTAAAAACACCCAAGAAAGACTTCCAGAACTGCTTCAGAAAGTGGCAAGAAAGATGGGATAATTTTTTCAAGTAAGGGGTTTCCATGGCAATGTGCCTCTTACTGTAATGAATTTCTAAAACTTTAAACATTCACCATATATTATATTATCTTTTTATGTATTTAGTACAGGGCCTAACAGGGTCTCACTAAACAGAATGGAGTCCTAGTGATCCTCCTGTTTTCAGCCTCCCAAGCCCTGGAATTACAGGCTCGTGCCACCACTCCCAGTCTTAGTCGCTGTCTCAGCATGCCGCAAGGGCAGGGCTGGCACAGCATGAGGGATCAAACCTGGTCCCTGCACCTGCCTAAGCAGGCACTTTAGTCTGCTGAGCTATCTGGCTGGCCCCACCATATATTAGGATCACACCTCATATTCTCTTTTATTAGTAAAGAGTTTTAATCTCATAAACCACAAACTCTCAAGGACAGAGTAATGTGAACATGGAAACTTCAAGGCCCTTATAAGTAAAGGAGAAGCTGAATGTGGGACATGAGCTAGAGGACATTCTTGAGGACAGAAACAGCACGGGCATGTGCCCATAATCAGCATGTCTGCCAGGTGCTGTGGCTTCTAAGACCTTAGCCACCACAGCTGGGGCTTTTCCTGTCCTCCAGGAGTGAACACACTTTAGATCTCAAGGTGTACCCAGAAGCCCACTCCAAAAGCAAACATTTCAGGAAGCCACCAGCCTTGCCATGATAGTCTTTGCAGCACAGTGGCCCCCAGGCCCAAGCAGTTCCACTGGGCAACATGGCAGAGTACAGTGGCAAAGCACAGTAACTCAGGCTTTGGCTGAAACAGACTCTGGTCCTGACAAGTAAGGTGGCAGTAGGTAAGAAGCTGACTTTCCTGAGGTCCTGCTTCCTCACCTATTAATAGGGACAGTGGCTGAGCAGCCTTCATGGTAGGCTCTGAGAGGCACTCATCTGAAGTTACCCGCAGGCCCTCAGAAATGCTCCCAGTCCTGTGGCCACTCCTTTCAGACAAGCACACTCTTCCCCTGGACACTGAGTCCATACAGTTCCTCCAGGAAAGGCCATTAGAGGAAGGGTATGACTCTTCCGTTCCAATAGCAGGCATCCCTAGGAGGTGGTCCAAATGGGTACTACCTGGTGCCAGGGAAGAGGGAATGGCAATTATGAATGTTTCTGCAGAACAGCTCAGAAACTGCAGGTGCAGAGCTGAGCCCCTGGACACAGCAGACGATGGTGCAAGGGTGTAGATACAGCACCACAACTTTAGCTACAGGAACCCTCCTTCTAGGCCACAGCCAAGTAGGTCCACAGGAGTTCTACAGGCACAGAGCTAGAGAAGTGGCCTAGAGAACAGAGTTATCTGTGAAGGGAGACTGAAAAATATGGTGATTTTTTTTTCTTTTTCTAAATTTAAAAATTCTTTTTTATTTAAAAAATGTGTTACAGGGCTGGGGGAGATAGCTTCGCAGTCTAAGCACCTGCCTGGCAAGCTCAAGGACCCAATTCGCTCTCTGGTACCACATGCCATGCTGGCCCCAGAACCCCAGGCGTACCATGCCAGTCACCAAAACCAAGTGCGGTGGCACACACCTGTAATCCCAGTGCTGGGGAGGCTGAAACAGGAGGATCGCTATGAGTTTGAGCTGCGCAGTGAGACCCTGTACCAAATAAATTAAATAAACGATAAAAACTGTACTACAGTAAAGGGCGCATTACTATTGATCCCCCTCAGTGTTTCCCCTCACTTCAAACATGTTTATTTCATTGTTCTTGCTACTTTTGAAGCAGTTCTGGAAATTCCTTTTCCTGGATGTCTTTATTTATGCTACCATGGCCGCTTCAATTCAAAATGTTTGCCTTTCATGCTCATTTTGACTGTGGGGAAGAGTCAAAAGTTGCGTGGTGACAGAGCTGGTGAACAGGGTGGACAAGGACAAAGACCTTTTTACATGCCTCCTTTCCATTGGATGGCACTTGGCAGCAGCATTCACTGATTCACTGTATCTTTAATCACACCTTGTAAAGACACTCAGGAAAGAAGACTTCTAGTACTGTTTCAAAAGGTGGCAAGGGGGCCAAGGATTATAGCTCAGTGGCATAAACGCCTGCCTGGCAAGTACAAGGTCCTGAGTTTGATCCCTAATAACAACAACAACAAAAAGGTGGCAAGAACAAGCCAGGTGTAGTCCCACATGCCTACAAAACCAGCATATAGGAGGATTGCCATGAGTTTAAGGCCAGCCTGAAGTGTACACATAGTGAGACATAACTCAAGAAAAGATTAAAGGGGCTGGCTGGCCAGACAGCTCAGCAGCTTAGGTAGGCCCCATGCCAGCCCCACCCCCGGGGCACGCTGAGATGGCAACTGACACTGGGCATGGTGACGTGCGCCTGTAATCCCAGAGCTTGGGAGGCTGAAAACAGGAGGATCACTATGAATCTGATCTGTGTAGTGAGACCCTGTACTAAATACATTAAAACAAACAAAAACCAGAAAAATGGCAAGAACATCGGGATGCTATGTTGAAGCAAGGGGGAGTATTCTGAGGATTAATGGCAACATGTCTTGTAACAGTATCTTCTGAGCAGCCCTTATACATCAGGCTTTCACAGGCTGGCTCCCCTTCGCTGAGACAGGAATGACTGTCCTAAAGTCCTGTGGGCCAACCCCCGGAACTACCCTGAGCCACTCTTCTACCTTCAGAGAACAAAGAGGATAGTGAGCATCAGTCTGCCGATGGCTGTGGTTTGTTACCTAGTATGTGCCCTCTTTTGGTGTCACCTAAATTAATATACATAACCTCATTAAATCTTTACGACAGCCCTCTGAAACAACGGTCAGGAATTTACCTTTCAGATACA